ACTGAGGAATTAATTCCCTGGCCCAAACTCCGCACAAGACGCAGGAGAAATTATAGCAATGCATGCCCACGCACAGCTCTGAGCCCCACCAGGCTCCGGGAGGAGGGACCCTCTGTGTTTCACCACAACAGGAATTGCACAGGGAGGGTCTTGCTGCCTCTCCCGAGGGCACGGGGCATCCCACAGCCCTTTGAAAACAGCCTCCCTTCAATCTCCCCCTTCCTTGGCATTTTTCTGCCTCTGGGCAGAATTACACTCAGTTCCAGGCAACCCCAGGGCTCTGGGGATTACAGCAGCGTCCCGTGCTCACACACCCCGTTAGCCAGCGAGGTATTTCCCCCTCAAATCAATTCTTCCCATGCAGGCACAGAGAGACAAACAGCCAAGAGGAAGGTGCGCGCATCACCCACACATCGCCGGGGTCAGCCCCAGCCGCAGGCACCGCAACCCTCGGGCCAGGGCACACCTCAGCTCCCGCCCGGCCCCAGCCCCGTGGCCTGGGCTGCCCTCGCAGACAAATCCCCAGAGGAAGCGGTCATTAAAACAACAGGGCTACTTATCTGCCGCGAGCCGATTGCCACAAAGCGCGTCCCACACATCGCCAACTTACCCTGGCAGCGCCTCTCCGAGCAGGGCCACAGGGACAGGGACAAGAGCTGCGTCCTGCACAGCCACACTGCCAGTCCAGCCCCACCAGGAACATGGAGAACGGGCTCTGGGGTAATTGCAGGATGGGCTCCAGCTGATTACTGACTGCACCTGGGTGGAAAAGTGCTGGGCATGCCCGGGTAGGATTCCTTCCAGCAAAACCTGTCCTGCATCCCTGGGCCACTCCTCCCCAGGTGTCCCCAGCCCCAAGGCTGGCCCTGTGTGGGTGCTGAGGAGGGAAGGACCCACCTTGCCTGTGGCTGCAGCCCCCGGTGCCTCAGTTTCCCCAGAGCAGAGGGAGGATAAAGGGTCTGGAGGTGGCGAGGGGCTTGTGCTTCAATAAAGGACTGCAAATCCTGGACAAACAGGTGCCAACAGGTCAATGTACCCGAAATGACATCCTGCTTGAACCCTTAGGGTCGTGCACTACAGGATGTGTTCTTCCATAAGGGACCCCTGGCACTAATGACTGTGGACAGACAGTGACACGAAAACGGGGAACAGTTTTAAACTTCCAGCCCAAACCATCGTGTGATTCTGTTCTCTGCGAAGGGCTCCGCGTCCCCCGTGCCCAGAGCCCGAATTCCTTGCATGTCAAGCCGGGATTCTCGTCTTCCCGAGGAAAAGCCTCTTTCTTTCCCTGCAAGAAGCTGGGATTTGGTTCCCTCTAGTGTCGCCGAGCTCCGTTGCTGAGCGGGGACCAGGGGAGCGGGGACAGGGGCGAGGGGGATTCGCCGAGGGGTGCTCCGAGCAGGGAGGAGAGCAGGGTCCCTGTCCTCGCCAGCTCCAGGGGCTTTGCACAGTTTTAGCAAACTCCAGGGGCTAAACAGGCTGCCCAGGACAGCCATGGAGGGATTTAAAGCAGGGATTTAAAAGACAGATGTGTACAGATGTGACCCCTGGGGATATGGTTTAGTGCTGGCCTTGGCAGCGTTGGTTAATGGACTTGGATGGTCTTAGAGGGGTTTTCCAACCTCTGTGATTCCAAGGCACGGTCCTGACACAAATGGGCTGGGTTCATGGGGACCCTCCTTTGATTCCAGCCACATCGCACTGTGAATCCCACTGTGAATCCCACTGTGAATCCCACTGTGAATCCCACTGTGAATCCCACCGGGAGGACCCAGCCTGTCCCTCCCTGGGCTGCACTCCCACAGCATCGCTGCCTTGAGCAGTTACTCCCTAATCACCTCTGCTTTTTGGGGCTGGAATGTCATTTCCTGGGGCTGGAGGATAACTCCAGCCCGTGGAGCGCTGCTGTCTTTGCAGAGGTGCTGCTGCTGCTGGATGTGCTGCCTTTTCGGGAGCAGAGCACAGGGAGGCTGAGGCACGTGGCTGGCTCCTCGCCAGCCCGGCCCATCTCTCCTCTCTCCAGTGCTCCTCTCTGGCTCCCTGAGTCACCATTTGCTGCTCTCCTCTTTAAACTAACGAGGAGACATTTTGCATTTGTGTTTCCTCATGGGCGAAATGCGTCCCTGGCACCACGGAGCAGTGCTGGCAGCTCCTCCCTGGCTGCTGCTGCTGCTGCTCTGGTTCCTGCCCCGCTGCCTCATCTCCTCACGTTCAGCTGGGGATGAAGTTCAGGCCGGCCAGAGCCCCTCTCCTTCCTACCTGTCCATCCAGAGACCTGTGAAGCAAACAGGGAATAACCAGTGCTGAGGGGAAGCTGTTTGGATCTGGAAGCCTTCCCAGAGGAAAAGGGCACTCCAGTTGTCCACTGTATTATTTACCCAATCCCCTTTGTGCCACAGAAAAGATTTACTCTGAGAAGATTAATGGCTCAAGGGGCTGTGAGAGAAATCCTCCGAGATTGCCTGGTTCAGGGGAGAAGGCAAACACCTCCTCGCCGAGGCCACGGAACACGGGGAGAACAAGGAAAGGGCTGAGGGCTGGGCGGGTTCGTGGGACACCCTCTGATTGGAACAATGACTCACCCTGGGGACAGCAGGACTCTCTCATGGGGCAGTGGCAGGAGGAAGGAGACACGGCGGCCTTTTCCAGGGATGCCCCCACCTTCCATCTATCAAAGCTCCAGGGCTCAACATCCAAAACAAATGACTGGGGAGAGCTGCTGGCAGCCCCTCTACCCCAGCTGGGAGAGGCCACACTTGCTGTGCACCCTGTCCTGGGTTAAGCCTGTCCTCTGTTCCTGGCTCCACCCTGGAGGAGCACGGAGCTGGGCTGCTCCCAGCTGAGCTCTGATAACAGCCTGCCCTCCAAACGTCACCCCCAGGGCAGGGCTTTGGGTGCTGGGACATGCCCTGCCCTGGCACTGTCCCCAGTGCCAGTGTCCCCAGCCCTGGCTCAGCCCGGGCTGGGGTGTGTGCAGGTGTGGGTGTCCCCAAGCCGTGCACAATAATGCCATTAATGCCATCTGGTGCCGAGACAGAGATCCCGCGCGGGAGCCAGACACGGCTTTTCTCTCCCTGTAATCCCCGGCCCCAGAGCCACGGGGGTTCTGTCTGCGGGGCTCCCGGCGAGTGAAGGGCACGGCTGCAGCCCTGGCACGCTCAGGAGCCGGGAAGGAGGGGAGCCCTGGGGCTCAGGGGCGTGGAACGGGCTCATTTCACACCCTGCTGCCTTCCTGCCTGCTGGCACCTTCAGCTCCTGCTTTTGGGGGACACAGCCCCAAAACACTCAGTGAGGCGTGGCCAGGGCAGTTCTGGTCTGGCCAAACCCTTTTGTGCTGTTAAACAGGCACTTTTCGTAGAATGTCAGGATCATTTAGTTTTAAAAACACCTCTAAGACCATCGAGCTTAACCATTAACCATTTTCTCCCTCGGCTGAAGGAGTCCTGTCGGTACTTGAGCTGTGCAAAGCTGCAACGAGTCTTTATTAGTGGGTCACTGTCAAGTCAAAATTATATTCCAAAATAATCTCCTTACTGTGTTAAATAAGCACCTCAGATTAGACAAATTGCACAGATTTTGCCTAATAACCTTCCCCCAGCTAATCCTATTTTTCTGTCAATGTCTGACCTCGATCGAAGCCCAAACGGACCCTGGGAGTTGGTTTCTCCATCCCGGCTGTGCTGCATGGTCGGGGTCACTGAAGGCAGCCCCTTGCACACCTGAGCAACCACAGCGGCTTCAGGTGAGGGGAGGAAATCCCCTGAGTTGGAGTTTCTCATCCAAACCATTCCCTGCTCAAGCAGCCCCCAGACCGACAAGGCTGGGAGTGAGCTCCCCGCTGCATCCCTCCCTGAACTCCTCCTTCTCTGCTTGTTTGGGGTGCCCCGAGGCCCCTTTTGGCCTCACCCTGCCCCAGGAAAGGGCGAGGATGCTGGGGCAGGGTAGGGGACAGGCAGCCCTGTGCCCTGCCGTCACTAGGTGTCTGTGTCGGGCCAGCTCTGCGCACACAGAGAGAACCTCCCTCCTCACTCACTCACCGCCCAATTGCGGGAGAGGTTTTATTTATTTATTTATTATTTATTTTTAAGAGCCGTTTCTGGCTGAATCCGAAGCTGAGAGGGGCCGAGAGCTCACCCAGAGCTCCGTACTCCATCCCAGCCCCGTTCCTGACCCAGAAGGACGCCTGGATCGCGCCCTGCGCTGCTGTGCTGGGCTGACCTTGGCTGGACCCCACTGAGCTGCTCCAGCACTTCCCTCCCCAGCAGGGCTGGGAGAGATTAAAGAGAGGGAAAATTCCCCCAAACGCATGGGTCAAGAAAAAGGCAGTTTATAAAGTGAAAGCAGAGGGAGCGTGAGCACAAGAAAAGGGGAAAAGAAGAAACCCAGGAGGCTGAAATTCGCCACTTGCCATCCGCAGGTGATGCCCAGCCCCTTCCCGGGAAGTCAGTATCGCTCCACAAGGTGAATGTTGTAACTCAGGAACATCCCCCTTTCTCACACACCCCTTTCTCCTCCTTTCCCTTTTTTTCTGTACCTGGTCTGGAATATCCCTTGGGTCAGTCTGGGGCTGTCCTGCCCGTGTCCCCTGCCAGGATCCTGCACGGAGTGTATTGAAGGGACAGCGCTGCTGCTGTGGGAGCAGCAGGAGCCTGAACTGGAGTGTTCCCAGCACCTTCCCAGCTCCCCACACACAGCCCAGCACCGTGAGGGCCGCGAGGGAGAGAATTAACCCCATCCCAGCCAGACACGAGCACACAAAGAGCCCCACAGTGCTGCCAGCCGCTGCCTGGGCATCCCAAGGGAAAGGCAAGTGCCGCAGGATCCAGGACCTGCAGCTGGGAGAAGAAACATCCGGAGCAAACCCTGCTCCGAGCCTCGGGCTGCGGAGGAGCCAGCGGGAAATTTTCCTTTCCTGAGTCTGGTGGAAGACGCCTGCAGGGCAGAAAAGTGATTGGCGACGGGCCAGGAGAGTGGGCGATTCAAACGCCTCGGGCACACAGTTTAACCTCTCGGAGCTTGAACTTTATTAGCCAAGAAACTCTTGCTGGGTCTAAGAGAGGGAGAAGCACGAGGGTAATTTGCGTTCTGGCCTTGCGGGGATCCACAGGAGCGGGGTGAGGGGTGGCCACTGGCCAGGACTCCTGGGCTTCGGCTGGAGCTCTGCTTCCATGACGGCATTGCAGCTCTGGAACCGGAGAGAGGGAGGGTGACATGGCCAGCGTGTCCCAGCCCCTCTGCTCCCGGGACAGACCCCCCAGAAGTACTGGCCTGAAGCACGAGTACCCCAAAGCATCGCTGCCCAGCACAGGGAGCCTGGCCGCCAGCTGCAGCCTCCTACCTGCACCTACAGCTCCTCCTCCTACCTGCACCTACAGCTCCTCCTCGTTCCCTTGTCTGTAGAAAAAAAGCAAAGGGAGAAGGGTTACACTGGGAAATCTGGCTGAGAGAAAGGGGAACGCGGGTGAAATCTGACCCTGTCAGCTGGCAGGACTGGAACAGGCAGGAGAGAAGAGGCTGCCTGAAAACCGTGCAATACTCACCTCCTCTTCTTCTTCCCTCCGCAGTGGAACCGCTGGCCTGGGGGCGAGAGGAGCGACTGAGGCTGAGCCTCCCCCCACCCCATCACACCCTGGCACTGCTCCTGCTCAAGCTGCCCCATGATTGCAAATACTCCTGGTTTTCATGGTTTTCTCCCTAAAACTAGCGGGCACCATCCTTGCAGCAGCTGTGACCGTGGCACGAAGTGGTGCTGTTCCAGAGCAGTGCCAGAACACCCAGGCAGGGTCACAGTGTGCCCTGCACACTTAACATCGGGTCAGTCTGGGAGCTGCCGAGGTCTGAGGGCTCTGGGAGCTCTGGTTCCACTCTCTGGAAATGTCAGAGTTTTCTCTGCTATTTTTAATGAGTGACCTTCCCTCTGAAGCCCTGGCGCTGGCAGGGAAACACTAAATATTTACGTGGTCTCCCTCCCAACTCGCCCTGTGCTGGGAGCGTGCCTGGATGGAAAGTTCCCAGGCAGCCCCAGGGGCAGGCTGTGCCCACCCCTGGTGCTGTGGGCGCAGGGTTGGTGACCCCCAGCCCCCTCCCGGCCAGAGGAGGGGGATGAGTGGAGCACGGAGCAGAGCCGAGGAGTATCCGGCTCACCCAGGCACTTACTGAGGATGATGAGGAGCCCGATCACAAAAGCCACGACGGCGAAGATCAGCCCCCCGTTTCGGATGGTGTCATAGTCTGGGGAGGAGGAGAGGTCAGCCCAGCTGAGCCCGCAGCACAGAGCCCATGGCAGAGTGGCAGGGAGGGGCTGCCCGTCCCCCTGCCCGCAGCCCCCGGGCACACACTCACCGTAGCTGAATCTGTCCTGGCCCTGCTCGGGCACTTGCTCTGAAAAGAGGAGAAATTCCAGTGAGAGCCCCGTCCTCACAATGTGGAGGTGGGAGAGACCAGGATCGAGGACTGCAAGTGAGAGTGCTGTGACTGCCTTGGCACGTAGCTGAGCCAGGAAACTCCTGGGTGCCACCCCAGGAGCTTTAACGTCCACGGCAAATTCACGGCATGCACTTGCAGGATGCTCGGGAGCCTTCGAGCTCCAGGTGAAGCTGCAGGCAGGGCCCCAGCTCCACCGCCCTCGGGAAGTGCCACTGCCTGCAGGACTCCAACAAAGGCTCTGTCCCCTCAGTGCACAGGACTGAACAACCCGTCAGACTCACACCTCGCACCAGATGCACCCCAAAACCCCCCCTCCGTGTCACCGTGTCACGGCTGCAGCCACCTTACCTGACTGCACAGCCCTTTGCCGGGAGCAGCTTGGAAGGAGAAATCACCCCGAGAAGCCAAACACCGATGTGCCACAGGGCTGTGGAGCTCTGAGGATCCATCCCCACGTCTGCCCACCCCAAATCCTCATGGAGAGCCCCCCCCGTGGTGGGAGGGACCAGCGCTGCTCCTCGCATGGAGATGTCCCCATGGAAGTGTCTGTCCTTACCGTCACCCATGGCCTCGGCGTGTCGTCCGGCGGGCACCTCGCTCTGCGAGTGGGTACCCACGGGAAAAGCGCATTAATTGGGAGACAAACCTCATTAAACATTAATGGCCTCGGTGTAATGTTTATCGCAGTCACGAGGGGAGGCACAGGGCTCCCGCCTGCCTTTGGGAAAGAGGGAGGGGAGGGCAGGGGCAGCACCCACCGTGCCAGCCGGTGGGGAGGGCTGGGCACCCCGAGCTGCGTGTCCTTGTCGCAGCCTTCCCTCCCTTTCCCATTGTCAGCCCTGCTGGGCTTCACCTCCTGCGGTGGTGACGAGCACAGGGATGGGCTCAAATACAAGCTGTGACTTCCTTTTGCTGGAGAGGAGCGAGCAGCACGTCCCGTCCTCCCAGCCTGGCACCGAGTGTGTCCCTGGGCCGGGTCAGCACCTCCGTGCCAGCACCGAGCCACCCCGGCAGCACCGCGATGTCCGTGGCGCATCCCCGCCGGCAGTGGGCAGGGGGATGCCGTGCCCTTCCCCGGGCGGTGCCAGCCCCGGGCCCGGCGGGGCCAGCTGCCAGGAGGGCTGTGCAATCCAGTTTGCTCTAATCTGGCCATCAGCGGGCGAGAGTCACGCGCACAAAGGCGATTAACGCCGGGGGTGGCCGTGGAGGGAGCCGGCCCCGAGGGACGCTCCCCTTGGCAGGGTTAAGGAGCGCAGACACCCGGAGCTCTCGGCAGCCCGGCCCCGGTGCCACGGGGCGCAGCCAAGCCCCGGGAGGGTGCTGCGTGGGGCGGCTCTGCTGTCACCGCTGTCACCGTGCCCTGGCACCGCTCAGCATCCGCCGCACCGGCGCGCCAGCAGCCCGACACTGCGGCTCCCGAAAAGCCCAGGGACAAAAGTGGCCGTGGCCGCGCCCCCGCGCTCCCCTCCCGCGGGCTCTGGCTCTTGCTGAGCTGCAGAAGGGAGCAGGAGGGGGCTCGGCCGGCACAAAGCCTGACTGTGCTGTCCAGGGCGCTGCCCCTGCTCCCCTGGCCCCAGCCGGGCCACAATGGGATGGCGTGGGAAGCTGCCAGGCTGCCCTGGGAACGCCACGGCCCTCGAGACAACGCAGGCAGGCACCGATAGAAACGATATTTTATTCCTTTCCCCTTAGGTCACAGCACAGAGCACACCAGCCCTCCAGCACAGCAGCACACTCGCCTATTTAAAAGGAGACACAATAGCTCAGTTTATTTTACAACACTCAGGGTTTGGCCATTTTACACACCACAGGGAGCTCTTTGTTTTGTGGTAACACCGACGGCACACTAGGGACAGCACGGGCACTCCGACTGGAGGGACACACACCGTGACACTCGGGGGTCTGCTCTGCCCCCTCTGCAACAGCCAGGACAGAGGGAAGGGACACAAACACGAGAGACATGGTCCCTCTGCCTGGCACAGATGGGACAGAGCTTCCCGGTGCCACCAAGTGAGGCCAAGCATGCAGGGACACAGCCCACGCCCGGGGCAGGGCCACCACAGTGGGATGGACACAGCAGAAACTCCTCTGAGAACCATCCTGGAGGAAAAACCCCCTTCCTGCTGTGGGGATGGCACCCCGAGGGGTTTCAGTGAAGCCCTGGGGACCCCTCGCTGCTGCCCCCACCCAAGCTGGCAGTCCCTAGCCCCAGCTGAGGTTTTGCCTGCCCACTGATTTGGGGAAGAGCCAAAAATCATAGGTTTGCCTCTGACCCCTGAGAGGACACAGGGTGACGATGGCCCCTGGGCTCAGCACGTTGTCACAGTGCAAACTCAGGTGTACAAAAGCCCCGAGAATCACTCAGTGCCACTCGCTGCTGCTCCACGGGGAGAGGGGACAGCTGGCACCGGGGGTGACACGGAACCACCACGGGACAACACAGCAGTGACACGGGTGGCACAGGGAGCGACAAGGTGCCAGGAGGGGCAGGGAGCAGCAGGAGGAGACGCCACTGCCCCTTCCCTGCCAGAGACAAGCACAGACAGGATCTCTGTTTCTCTTTAGCCCTCAGCCTGTGTCACCCACCCAGCTCTGGCTCACGGGCAGGAGCTGGTTTGTGCTGGTTAGTGGAGTCACCGCTGTGCTGCTGCCCTCATCCACAGTGTCACCGTGCTGGGGATCTCACGGGCTTCTCTGCCACCATGGCCTTGCCTCACACTCCAAGCAGCGTCCCACAAGTTTAACCAGGGACAGAAACAGGGAGTGCCAACCAGGAGAGCTCCTTCAGCCTTGAATCCAGCACCCCAGTGGCCCCAGCGAGGAGGTTGAGCCATGGGATGTCCCTGCCTGACTCACCCCCCACCATGGCTGTTTTTAGGCTGGGGCATGCAGGGGGTTATTGCTGAAATGGGGACAGGTGGCCCTGAAATGACCCCAGGGCACTGCAGGTCCCCAAGCCCTGCCCAAAGCCGGGGGGGCTGTGCTGCTGGCATGGGCAGGGAACGGGGGTCCCTGCCCCACAGCCCACACTCCCTGTTCCCAGGCTTGGAGGGCAGCCCAAAGGGCAGCAGCCTGCCAGTCCTACAGAGCCCGAATCACACGCACAGCACGAGAAAGGTGAAGAGAAAGTCACAATTACAACATCAGCAACAACTAGCCCTAGAGGTAATGATCATCTCACAGCAACATTACACACCACGGGAGGCAGAGTGAGCGGAGTTTAGTCGGGTTACGAGACAGAGAACCGGTGCTGGAGCACAGAGGGGACACAGACAGGGCAGCCCCGCGTCTCCTGAGAGGGACCTGCTGCTGGGGGCTCAGTTTCCTCGCAGGCCACGGGCATCTGGGCTCCCAGCGTCTGTCCTCGGGTCTCTGGGTCTGTGCAGGGAGCAGAGCAGTGGGTCAGGCTTTCTCCAAGCCAGGAGGTCGGGGAGCTCATAACAAGATGCCCCAGGGGATTCACATCCAGCTTTCTGAAAACCCTAAAACCAAAACCACTCAGGGGTGGAGGAGCACCAGAAAAGGAAGTGTAACACAAGGGACAATCCGGACAGATGCTTCCTTTTCCTGCTGGGCTGCCTGGGGACACTCAGGAGCTCGCTAGCACTGAGTTTCCTTGTTGTAGACCCCTCCAGTGCTCGCCCCCAGCCCATCCCAGGGATGCAGAGCTGCCCAGCGCCACTGCTGTGCTCAGAGCCCCGCAGTCACCCCCACCCACAGCCCCAGCTGTCCCTCCCATCCTGATGCCCCCACCCAGCCTGGCCGGGGACTCACAGCATTGGCTCCTGCTCAGTTCTCTGCTTTCTGTGCCGCCGTTGCTGCAAAGGGAAGAGCAGAGGGGTTTGTGGTGCCTGCCCAGCGCTGGGAGGGGGCTGTGACACGGGGCAGTGGCACAGGGACCCCAGCACAGTGACCTTACCGTTTGAGGTGATCAGGTTCTCTGCCTGAGCCTCCTCGTCCCCTGGAGCCCTGCAAGGAGAGGAGCAGCTGGGATCTGTGCCCCATCCCAGGGTGGGATGCCCAACAGCGTGGTGGGATGGCCAGGAAGGCGCACTGGGAGCAGGCAGAGCTGCTCCCCCAGTTTTGGGCACCCCAAAGGGACACCCAGGGAGTGCAGCACCCACCAGGCTGCCCTCACTCACCTGGGCTTCTGCTTGAAACTGCACCTGCACCTCCTGCCTGCAAGGGGAGAGAAACTCCGTGAGTGTGGCCGAAGCGGGAATGGGATGAGGCCTTTCCCAGTGCCCCCCAGCATGGGAACAGCCCCTGCTGTCCCAGCTGCCAGCCCAGCACACACCATATCCCCAACTTACTGAGGATGAGGAGAATGCCCACAGTGAACAGGACCACGGCAAACACCAGCCCCCCGATCCTCAGGCTCTGGTAATCTGGGAAGGGGAGAGACAGGACTCGTTCCTGCTGGGTCCAGGGGAGGGGGCGGCTCTTTGGGTGCCCATGGCACACCCACACCCACCCCCAGGCTCAGCCATGCTCACTCACCATAGTTAAAGGGATCCTCCTCCTCCTCCTCCTTCTCCTGGGTGGCCACTGGAAATGAGCAGATAAGGGGGTGTGAGCTGAGCGAGCCCCTGGCTGCTGCCCCACACCCCACTGCTGCCCCCCTGTTCCCTGGGGTTCCCCAGCCTTTTCCTGAGGTGTGTGTGCCACACACACCGGGCACCTACCGTCTGCCATGGCCACGGGTACCAGCAGGGAGCACAGGAAGATGAGCACTGCCTCCATGGCTGCTGTGAGAGAGGGGAGAAGAGGGTGTCAGCACCCACAGGCCTCAGGGAAGGCACTGGAACAAGGCCAGGGAGCACGGGGGAACTCCAGACAACCCAGGCTGGCTGTGTGGGCAGGCAGGGCCAGCCCATGCCACGGGAGAAGGAGCCAGGCTGGTCCGAGGAAACACCCAGGGTGCCACCACAGCGCCCAGCCCAGCAGTTCAAAGTCAGGAAGGGAAGGGTTTGAGCAGACTCTCATACTTTTTTTTGTAGGGTTCTGGGATGTATTTTCGACCATCTCCACTTGGCATAAATCTCAGTGAAGTCTCAAGTTTGCTCTGCTCTGCAGGCAATGGGGCCAACACCCCAACAATCTCACCCTGTGCACCTCTGGGAACAGTGTCCAAAAGCTCCTGCAGATCTGGCAGCCTCGGGGCCGTGCCCATTCCCTGGGGATCTGGGCAGTGCCCAGCACCCTCTGGGGGAAGAACCTTTTCCCAATATTCAACCTAAACCTCCACAGAGACAGAAGAAAAAAAAAAAAAGAGGCTGGATTTACAGTTACCCTAGTTTGATGAAACACTCAAGCCTAAATCCCGCTGTCTTTGGGAGAAGTTGGCATAATTTAACCAGTTTGCTGAATATTTCCAGCCTCCTAAACTGGGACAGACTCCATTCGCACTTGGGACTGTTTTTTAATGTGGTGCGTTTCAATTAAAAACTTTCTCAAGAAGATTTAAGAGACACCGCAGAAGAAACGGCAAGAAGAACAATTTTAGTTTGCTCTTTCCACATCTGCTCTTAAAACTTCATTGGTTTCGAGCATCCCAGGGCTCCTCTCAGCAGGGCACGGCACTCGGCCATCAGCCCCCGGCCCGGCCCCCGATGATGATTTGTCCCAATTAGCATAGCAATTACACTCCCGCAATGAGGCCAGTGGCCCTGGTGGGATATGAGCTCAAAGACACACTTGCCCTCCGGGCTCCCTGCAGCAGCAAGGAGAGACCATAAATAATCTCGGTGTCCCCTCCCAGCAGAGCCTGGCGCTGTCCCTTCGCTGGGAGCACCTGGCCGGAGCACGGACCTTTCTCGGAGGGTGGGAGGACGCTGTGGCCGGGCTGTGACACTCCCTGCCACCTCGGGGCATGTCCCCAGCTGCATTTGGGACAGCCACCTTCTCTGCTGGGACCCACCCAGCCAAGGCAGGGCACTGGTACCCACACCTGCTGCCAGCATCCCTTCTCCATCTCCCAGGGGACAGCCAGGGGACAGGGGGGACCTGCTCCCTGTCCTGCCAGCTGGCACGGGGCACTGCAGACCCTGTGGTGCGCTGGCTGCACTCAGGGGAACACCTCGTGTCGGGAGGAGAGGTTTGGCTGGGGCAGCCCCTCCGAGGGCAGGCGGTGGCAGCCTGGCTGCTGCCTCTGTGTCCCCGCAGGTCCCCGGGGCTCTGCCTGCTGGTGACAGCGGTGCCAGGCGGTCCCCCCCGTGCCCTGGAGCCGGGCTGGGTGGCCATACATGGTCGGGAGCACGGAGAGGGCTCGCTGCTGGGAATGGAAGGGAGGTTATCGGGAGCCCTGCGCGGCCCCGATAGCGCCGAGCGCTACTGAGCGGCTGCAGCTGCTGCGCTGGATTAGTGCCGATAAGGAAGGGGCCCTGGACACAGCAGGAATTCAGCTCGCTGGCGGATGCGGTGCCGCTATTCAGCCCCTCCAGAGCCTGACCTGATTCCGATGCAGCCTCCACCGCAGCCCACCCCTGCTGTCAGCCACGGGAGAGGCAGCTCAGCTGCCCCAGGCCAGCTCCCTGGGACACCGAGATCCCCCAGACCCTGCCACGGCCCCTTCTCCCAGTTTGTGCCCCACAGTCACCCCCAGGACTGGCACGGAGCAGGCTCAGCAATGCCCACCAGTGCTGGCCCCAGCAGCGCTGGGCTCCGTGGCCTTTCCCAGTTCCCAGTTCACAGAGGAGGCAGCCCCGGCCCCACCAACATTCCCAGAACCCGCCCTGCTCATCGCAACAAGCGGCATCCCAGATAACTCCCATTCCTCCCTCCCCTTCCACGATTTGCCATTCCGAAGGCGATGTGTTTACCCGAACACTGGAGGGTTTCATCCCCCTCTGCTGCAGCTGCTGGGCTGCACCGGAGTGTGCCCAGACAAAACCCCTCGTTTGCTGAGATGCAGATTTCGGGGTAATTACCAGGTCTTAGAAACACACACAAAGAGCCCACAGCTGGTGGCACAGTCACTTCGAGATGCGTATCTCCTTTCTCTCACGTTCTTTATCTCCTCACCACGAGGCTGCAGATTCAGTCATTTTCCCAGCTCACGGTCTTGTGCCATGATCAATATTCATCGGCTCCCGTATTTCTCAAACAAATCATTCATCAGACTTTTACAGTTTTGCTGCCATTTGCCTGCTGCCGGATCATTCCCTGAAGAGCACACTCCGGGAATTTCACATTATTCCCTGCCCTGAGCTGCTCCACGTGGCACTGGGCCCTGCCCAGCCACACACACACCCCCTCCACCCCTTTGCTCAGCATTTGGCTTCTCGCACGTAGCGCGGCGGAGTTCACTGCTGGGCCGAGCCAAGCACGCAGCACACATATGTTCTTTGTTTTTCTATCTCAATTCCTAGAATTCACACACTTCCGCGCTCCCGAACTTATCTCCGCACGAGTGAGCCGCCAGGATTGGCAGTGTCCCTGCTCCCAAGGCAAACACGGCGCTCTGCAGTGCAAACGAGCCCAGCTCTCCTCCAAGGAAGCATATGCCTTGCAAAGAGCCACAGGTTTTTTGGGTTGCTCCAAGCTGGCCCACCCACTTCTTCCTGAAGCTGAAATAAAGTGAGAAGAGCGAGCACTGCCGAGGGTTTGCTGTTCTCCCTGCTCCTGACTTCCCCCACGCTGAATCCAGCTGTGCCTCCGCACAGGAAAGGAGAGGGAAACCAGCAACTGCCACGTCCCACAGCAAAAATCTCTCCCTGTTTTCTCCCCATTGGTGACACAAAGTTCGGAGTCACCACCCTGGACACCACGGGCAGTGGCAATGCCTGCGACTTGAACCCAAACATGGGGGTTTCCTGTTAAAACTGCGAGATCCAGCAAAACACAGAGAGAGGTGGAGCAGCACAGGAGCCGAGCAGCAGCGTCCAGAACTCCCCTCCCCTCTCATCCCAGCTCAGTCTGCTGCTCTGTGAGGGAAATCAGATATCTTCCACCATCCCTATCTCCACAGAAGAGCCGCTGGTAGAAGGAGCAGCAGAAATTTGTGACAGGCTCAAGGGGGAAGGAAGCAGCACCACAGATTGAGGAAGTACACAGTTTGCTGTTTTCTGGGAGGATATGGATGAGAGTGGGTTGGGGGACTAATCCAGTGCTGCCAGGGCTGGACCTGCCCCATGGTGAGAGTCAGTTCCCCCTGCCCAGCGCAGCCAGCAGTGACACCAACAAGGCAGGGTGACAATGGCAGGGCCACCCTGGCACCACGAGATGGGAGTCACCCGCACCCAGGCGAGCCGGCCGGATGATTCACAGCCCTGCCACGCACAGCCAGCACTGCCTCCATGCAGAGCACAGCCACAGCTCCTCCTCAGCCTCTTCCTCCTGGATCATCCCCCCTTGCCATTCCCACGCCATTCTTGGTGGGTGTACGTGCTTGGAGCCCCGGTGAGGGAGAGGAGTGGGCAAATCCAGGCAGACAGACCCAGTCCCTCCCGCCTGGCTCAGCTCTCTGCAGCACAGCAAATCCTGCCAGAGCAAGGCAGGTGAATTTGTAATGCTCTTGGATCTCCAAGTCCCCTTTTCCTTTTCATTGTTTTGCATAGATCTGCCCTGTCAAGTCTCAGCCATCACAGCGCAATTCCGGGCAGCCTCCGCCTTCCACCAGGAGTCCTCAGGGCATCTCCCGGAGATCAGACCTAGTTAAAATCTCTGGTTTCTGTGCAAAGCCCCCCAGACCGTGACAGCAGCGCTCCTTTGCCCGGGGCGTTTAAGAGCGTGCATGTGTGAATGGACATTTCCAGCTCTGCATAGATGTGCTCTTCTGCCATTTCACGTCAGCATCAATCTGGCTATTAATGTGCCTGTTGTTGTGCCTCGTGCTTCTAAATGAGAGAGGATAGGAGATTTCCAGCCCTCGCCATTCTGGTATGGGTGGCCCTTCCCAAATCCGGTGCTGATTCAGAGGCTGACTGGATGGAAGGCAAAAACCTGGCTTTACTAGAGTCTAATTGTCTCTTTTGCTGGTTTGGGGCGTCTCTGAGTGCACTACCCCTCACCTGTACCCCAGAATTCCACTTGCCTCCTGCAGGGCTTCTTCCAGCCTCATGGAACTGACCCTAAACCATCGAGGAGCCTCAGCCAAGACTGCCTGGCCCTGTGTGGCTCAGCACAGTCCCCAGCCCCCCGGTGACACTCAAATGAGGCAGCAAGGCCAATCCTTCACTGGGGCAAACCTCCCTGCTGAGCCTAAGGCTGCCTAAGCCAGGGAAGCCAGCCTGGGCTCCAGCAGGCAATAAACATCACCAGCACCTCCCCTGTACAGGAGTCTGCTGCTCCTGATCCCTCCTTATTCAATGAACAGATAAACAGGGGCTGTAAACCTGACCGTGCACCTGCCTGGACCATCCCATCCTCTCACCACACCCTTGTTTGGCTGAATGAGCCTGGGCTCTGCAGGGGCATCAGCCATGAGAATCCCACAGGTGAGACAAGGGAGAGGTTCCCTGCAGGATCCTGGTGGTGAGAGCACCCCAGATCATCAGGACACCCCGGCAGAGCAGCGTGCAGGGAGCTGTTTGAGGCTCCTGAGCGTGCTGGGTACCACAGCCCTGCCACGCTCCGCAGCACATCAGAGCAGACATTTTCTCCCTTCTCTCCTCTGCTGTCACCATCAGCCACGACCACTGCGCGCAGGAGGCAGACAGCAATGCCCTGAAACACGGCTGTTGTCCCCAACACTGCCCCAGGCAGTGATGGGCAGGTGGCACAGGACAGGGCAGGACAGGACACCTCCCTGCTGCCTGTGCCAGCGGTGCTTTCTCCATGCTCAGGGGCACAACAGCTGCAGAGCTCAGCAGCCTCTTTACACCTTGCAAACACACACAGCCTGAAAGGCAAACACGGGGGAACAGCAGACACAGAGCTGCTGGTTTGCTGTGTCAGGGAGTGTCCCCCACACCTGGCAAAGCCGTGGCTCCCACCCCATGTTTTACCTGAATGGGTACGCTGAGACAAAGCAGATAATATTTCCAGGTGAGGGTGAGCCGTGAGGCTGGTGGGAGGAAGGTGCAGGCAGACTCACACCTTGCAGGCACAGGATATCCTCCAGCACGTCCCAAACACGCTCTAACAGGTGGCGTGGCCTGGCTTGGCAGCCATGGCTCCATGCTGGCAGCTCTCCACTTCACTCCGCCTTGGAACCATGGTCCGGCTCTGCATGAGCAGGGACTCTCCGGGTTTGTCTTTGTTTCAAACTGGGAGCAAAACCACCCAGCGGGACTGAAAATCCCAGCGGGACCCACCAGCATCTTGGAGCGCTGTGGGCTTGCCAAAATGGGTGCTCCATTCTAATCCACACACGGCTTTCCCCGAGAGGCTGCTCCTTCACGCTGCTTATTCACATCCACACAAACCACCTGTCACTTTCCCTCCCACAGAAATATCCCTGCAAGATCCAAGTTCCACCACATGGACTCCAAAATCCGTTTCTTTGGAAGCATTAATTACATACCCTGAGAGACACGCTCTTCCCTTCCTCCGTACGCCTTCCCGGGATGAGGCGCTTGGCTGTTTACGCACGGTGTTACTACAATATTGAACAACAGGAGCCAGAGCGCTGCCAAGGGCTGCGAGAGAGGGATCCCCCGGCTCCCCGGGATCCCCCCTCTCCCAGGGATCCCCCCTCTCCCCACAGCCCTGCCAGCCTGCGGAGCACCGGGAGCGCTCCGGCTCTGCCCGCGGTGGTCTCGGGTGGCTCCGCCGGGGCATCCTCCCCATCACGGGGGGCTGGTAACCAGGCAACGGTGGGATACGGGAAAGCGCGGTACCCGGCGTTGCCATGGCAGCCGCCGGGACCGGGATGCGAACGGGTCGGGGCGAGGGGCGATGCCCCGGGGCAGCCGGGGGGAAGGAGTCCCGGCCGCCTCTCCAGCGGGAGCGGGGTGGGGCTCGGTACCGCAGCCCGGTACCGGGGAACGGACCCCCGAGCGAGCACCCCGAGCCACGCGCTGCCGGGCGGACCCCGAACCTACTGGTCCCTCCCTCCCTTCCTCCCCACCGATCCCCCCAGGCCCCTCTCCGGCCGGACCCACCTGAGCTGGCCGGGCGGAGCCGGGCAGAGCCGGGCTGGCCCCGCGGCTCCGGGCGGTGCCGGGGGAGCGGAGCGGAGCGCGGAGCGGGGCTGCCGCACAAAGGGGAGCGGGCGGGCGGGGCGGGGGCGGTGCCTGCCGGGCGGGGGGCGCGGGCAGCGGCGGGGGCGCGGCCAGCACGGCCCGGCCCCTGGCGGCTCCCAGATCCCCCCAGAGGAAGGCACGGGGATGCTCAGGGGGATGGAGCGCTTCTGCTCCGGACACCGCTGGGAGTGTCCAGCCTGGAGAGGAGAAGCTCCAGGGAGAACTTAGAGCCCTTCCAGCGCCTAAAGGGGCTCCAAGAGAGCTGGAGAGGGACTGGGGACAAGGAATGGATTGGAGAGACAAGAGGGAACTGCTTCCACTGCCAGAGGGTAGGGTTAGATGGAATATGGGGAAGAAATTCTTCCCTGTGAGTGTGGTGCGGCTCTGGCACAGGGTGCCCAGAAAAGCTGTGGCTGCCCCGTCCCTGGAAGTGTCCAAGGCCAAGCTGGATGGGGCTTGGAGCAACCTGGAATAGTGGAAGGTGTTCAAGGGATTTGGAGCTTGATGGCCTTGAAGATCCCTTCCAACCCAAACCGTTCAGTGATTCTGTGATTCTGCAAAAGTCACAGTGCCTGCAGGGCAGGTATGGAGGGGAAACACTCACCTGGCTTTGAAACATCCCTTCCCACAGCACAGCAGGTCTGGACTCTGCCCTGAGCTGTGGAGGGAGCGAGGAACAGACTGGGGCCAGCAGAAAACACACACAGATGAATTGGCAAACACGGCACAGAAGCCCTGCTGCCTCCTGAGAGCTGGGAAAGGCACTGCCAGGCTGCCAGGCCAGGTGGCCCAGCTCACAGGGCTTCAGTCACGTCACTCAGCCAATCTCAGGGTCCTCCCAGGTCAGGGTGGGAAGCAGGGACAAATCCAGCTTGGTCTGGCTCAGTTTCAGGCACAGCAGAAATCAGGAATAACAAATGCAGAAATTAGGACCTGGTACCTGCAATGCCTGCCCTGAATCCAGCAGCATTTGGCAGCTGCAGGAAACCAATCCTTGGGAGTTACCCAGAGCAGGTCAGGAACCAGGGTTCACTTCAGGCAGCCCGGGCAAAACGCAGGGCTGCACAAAAAGCCCTGTGAAAAGCTCTGGAAGCCTTGTCACAGAGCTTTGTGGCAAGCCCCAGTTCGTTCCCATCAGACAGCCAGGCATGCTGGGAGGAGCAAGATGGGCAGGGAGATCCTTGTTCAGTGCAGGATGTCAGACGGCAACAGGGTGCTGGGGGCACTGCCAGGCAGTAGCTGGGAGCCATGGGCACCACTCTGTCCCAGGCCAGACTGGCACATCTCTGCCTGGCTCCTGCTGCTGCCCTGGAGAGCCATTTCTTGGAAAAACACCTCAGCAGTGCTGTCACCACCGAGCTGGCTCATCCCCTGTTAACTCCAACGCATCTGAGATGGAAATCAGGCAGTGCCGGCACCGTTCCACAGCCTTCTCCCCGCTTCCAGTAAAACATAAAAGGAAAATAAACCAGCACTGGCATTTCAAGGCAATTATTCAAAGGGTCAAGAGATACAGACCAGCACCGAGGAGCTGGAAAACATCAAGTCCCTCTAATGCATAAGGATAACAGGATAAGGCTGTCAGTTACCCTGCAGAGAGAGAGGCAGGGATCAAGCCATTATAATCAAGTTTTGGGCTTCTCTGACCTTATCTGCTTCTCGGCTGTCATTATCCACAGCACACAGTAAAACGTTCAGGTGTGACCATGCCCTGGGGGCTGCAGTGAGCACTGTGGGGCTCTGCACAGCCCTAAGCACAGATGCCCCATGCAGCAGCAGCCAGGACACAGCTGGATGTGGCTGGATGTGCTCCGAGCTCTCCTTCCCTTGGTTCACTATTTACAAATTCCCAAGGAGCTGCCCAAAGTGAGCAGAATAAAAAAAAAATCAGCAGGGATTTTTTTTTCCCTGTACAAATTCAGGTAAAATAGAGACCCCAGTGTGAATGTGGAAAGGGAGGAGGAAAAGCAGCTCCAGCAGTCGCTCATGGTAAACATCTGCTCCCCAGAGCTGTGCTGCTGGAGAGGCTGCACCGAGCTCCAGCTTCTCTTCTGGAGAAACTGGACCAAAAGTAATGTGGAGGCCAGGCAGGAGATGATTTATGCTAACAAGGGGGCTGGGCTGGTCTCCTCAGCTATCTGAGAGAACAGGAGCATTGCCAGCAGCTCCAGCAGGGCATGATTTCATCTGAGCCCGTGTCCCCTTACCCTGGAGCAGGTGTCTCCTCCTCGTGGGCTTGGGGCAGGGACGGAGCCACTTGCTCTCCAGAGCTTTCCCCTCCAGTTTTAAGGTCTCTCCCTGTAAAGCCAAGCTTGGAATTTGCCTGTTCAGCGGCCCCATCAGGGAGAGCAGAGCAGTGACAAAAGCTGTGTGCAGCCATAAAGCTGTGTTTACCCCAATGCCATCATTTTCCCTCAGGTCCAAGTCATTCCCTGTGCCCCAAATCCCTGCAGGAGCGGGGATGGAGCAGTGGCTGTGCTGAAGCTCCTGCACTGCCCTGTCAAGCACAGCTCCAGCTGAAGCCCAGAAACTCCATGCCAAGTGATGATGTTACTCACCATGGAAGGGAACCAATCCCCTACTAGAGGAAAAGCATTTTTGCAGAGAAACATCATCGCTGAAACCCTATAAACAAATCTGTTTTGACACAGCAGAACAAAGAGCTATAAAAGGAGAGATTTGGAAAACCACCGCTAATGGGCGGTAATTCACGTGGTGCCTGCCAGGCTGTATTTTTGTAATTATTTTTGTAATTCGTATATCCCTTTGGGATGCTGGCCTATGATTTCCAGAGCACAGAGGAATTTGGGAACAGCCCAGCCAGATGTGGGGTGATGCTCAGCACCCCCTGTCTTGGAAGATGCTCTGGAGCAGGACATTGAGCAAAGAGCTTTACAAGAGACACAGGTGATGGCCTGGGCTGTCCCAGGAGCTCCTCGGGGCTGGGCTGGTGCCCACCACGACTCTGCTCCCCCAGGAGTGGAGGCAAAGCAGTGGCCAAGGCGTGTGCTTCATCTGCACAGCGTTTGGGAACAGCACGACAGCCGTGGCCAGGCTTCACGGGGAAATAATCACTCCTAATCTGCTTAGAAAACTTCATCCCTTGGGAAAACACAGCATACCTGCCTGTGGGCCTGGGGGGAGACGCTGCTGGACGGCAGGTTTAGAAGAAATAAATTAAATTTGTATTAGGGGCTGAAAGCGTTTCTCTGTCGTGAGAGACTTTGAGAAGAGCAATAACCCCTGAGGAGGAGAAACCCACAGCAGAGGAGAAGATCCCACACGTGCTGAAATGTTACCATTACTGGTCCCAGGAACACAGCTCCAGCAAGATCAGCTCTTATGGGGTTCCAATTTTTGGGTTATTCCTTCTCAAAAGATCAGTTTCTCCAGTAATAAACTACTATGAGCTGCTGCTCTGCTCTGACTTATCCACAGAAACCCCCAGATCGCCTCTGCACAAACCTAAGCTGGGTCTGTGACTTAGGGCCAACTGAATTCCCACTTTAACCAGACCAAAACACAGGGAAGTCAGGGCCCCATCTCTAACTCAAGATCAGCTGCTCTGTTTATGGAAAATTGTGCTGCCCTGCACACTCAGGGCAGTCCCTGCAGCGTGTCCAGCCCCAGTGTGTGGGGAACAGAGCCCCCCCACCCCTCCCTGGAATCCAGCAGGGCTGCCCAAGGTTGGGAAGTGGGAATGGTCCCCTGGGCCCTGCACACTCTGTTCTTCACGGGCGGCTCCTGCATCCGTGGGAGGTTTCTGGGCTGCTGCTCTGAGGAGGGATTTGAGGTCAGGCTGACTTAGTGCTTCCCAAAAGGCACCGACTCTCTTTGTTTCAGTTCAGCTCCAGGGCAGCCACCCAGCACTGCCCTAAATCCAGGAGAAGTGAAGCAAACCCAGGAATTCACTCAGCCCTTCCCATCAGCGGGCAGGTGGCAGCCCCAGTGCCAGGTGCTTTCTGCACACCCAGAACCGGACCAGACCTGCTGGCCCGAAATCCCAACACAAACCACAGCTGCCCATAACCTTCTCCAGGGGAAGTGGTCAGTGCTGGGAACACAGGGGATGTTCCCAGGACCTGAGCAGCCGAAAATCTCCCTTTTCTCCCAGCTATGAGCAGTAACCCAGAGGGTGACGGGCAGGAAGGGCCACTCCATCACAAGTCCCACGTGCCCGCTCCTCAGGGATCCTTGGCACATCCCTGCTTCCTTCCCAGCCCATCCCAAAGAGCCATCTCCACATGGGGCACTACCAAAACATTTATTAGAAGAGTGCAGGGTGGCCAGGCTCCACAGGACCCCCCTGCAGCTGACCACAGGGCTGGGGAGGGCAGCAGGAATGCTCACCCTGGGAGCACCCTTGTGCTCCCCAGCATCCACCAGGAGACACAGGTGCTTTTTTTCCCGAGGGAAATGTGTCCCTGCTGGGGCGTGGGCAGTGGGGACAGGCTGGCTGTGCCATCCCTGCAGGCAGGAGGCAGCACTCGGGCACTGCAGAGCTCACAGCAGGGAGATCCAGGGCTGCTCTCACTGGGCACTGCCCATGAGGGTGATTGCTCTGAGCCACACTCCAGCGTGGCCTTTGGCTGCCGCTGGCTTCTGTCACATCTCCCACAGCCACCCCAGGGTGCCCCAAACCCTCCCCAGAGCAGACTGAGAGCAGCTGCACTCCTGGGAGGGAGCTCTGGCTCAGACCGGAGCCACAGCATGGAAAAATAAACAAAGAGGCATTTCCCTCACAGGGAGGGACATCTTGTAAAAGGAACTTCTGAAATCCTTCCACAAACACGGGAGCAGCGGCCGCCCCTCCCAGGGGGTGGAATATCCACACCTCGGGGCTCCCCTTTGCCCCAGAGCCACCAGTGTGACCCCGGAGGTGTGGGCACTGTGGGCACGGCTGCCACACCCTGCACCCTAAGGTGGCACAGCTGTGACCTGGCAAGAGGAGAGAGTTCCCTCTCCATGGGCACTGCTGGCAGCCCCTTGCCCGCTGAGTGTGCCAGGCCAGCAAGCACTCACACATGCTGGCCAGACACGTCTATTTACAGGAGGAGAGCCACAAACACGGGGCAAGGAGGTGTCCCCCAGCCAGCACGGCCAGCTGCTGGCATGGGCTGTGTCCCCCCAGGCCTGGCTGGGTGCTGTGCCCAGCCACCACCGTGTCACCCCCGGCACCAGGCGAGGGCAGGGTCACTTTGCAGGTTCTGTTCTCAGAGTTCGGGGGCAGCCACAAGTCCCTGGCTGCACGCACAGTCCAGAGAGAGGTGAGGGGTTGGCTGGTGGCATCGTGCCCTGGCAGCAGCCTGGGGCAGTGGCCCGTGCTGGCCAGAGAGGCACAGCCCAGGCAAGTGTCCATCCCTTAGAGCCCTTAGTCGTTCTCGCTCTGCAAGGGACGGAGAGGAGAGAAGAGCAGGGTGAGGTGCCAGGGGCTGGGCTGGGGGTACAGCCCCTCTGCAGGGCCACCCTGGCCAGGGACAGCCCTGCCAGCTCACCTCCATTTTGCTGTATATCCAGCTGAGGAGCTTTGTCACACGTGTGTACACTCCGGGCTTGTACTTCTGGCCACATCCTGTCCCCCAGCTCGTCACCCCGGCCACATACCAGCGGCCATCGTCCTCGCAGACCAGGGGCCCTCCGCTGTCACCCTGGCTCAGAGGGGCAGAGCAGTGAGGAGGAGAGACGGGTTAGATACCCAAAATCGGGCAGCTCTCCCCTGGGCTGCCTCTAACTCACCTGACAGGCGTCCTTCCCTCCCTGCAGGTAGCCGGCGCACATCATGCGGGGGGTCAGGTAGCCCTCGTACACCTTGTCGCTGTTACAGATCTTGTAGTCGATCAGCTTCACCTCGGCCTCCCGCAGCTTCGGGGACGTGTTATCTGCAAGGTAGGAGGAGCTGTGGGGCCTCGCCGTCCCGCACCGCCCCCGGCCCCTCCGCAGCGAGGGAGGAAGCGCCTGTTTCTCACAGGTCTCATTTCTGCTGGGAGGGCAATCCCCAGAGTTATCCGTGCGGGAAAGCCCTCGAGGGTCACAGCGGGGCCGTGCCCGTGGTCAGGAGCTGCCTGCGGGGAGCCGCGCTCCTCCCTCACCTTCATTCTCCCTGGTTTTCCCGAAGCCGGTGATGAAGCAGGACCTGCCGGTCTGGAATCGCTGGCCGTACATGGGCAGGCAGGCGGGGCGCACCTGGGCTGGAGGAGAGCGATGGGAGCAGGGAGAGGAGCGAGGGACGAGTCAATGGGAGGGAACTCCTCACAGCCCCGCAGCCAGGGAGGAGCGAAGGGCGCAGGAAAGTCTCCCCTCTCTGGTAACCCACTGCTCCCCCTCCCCATGTGGGGCTGGTGGCACAGCTGAGCCCACGGCTGCGGCTGCCAGAACCTTCCTAGCCATGGGACAAGCAAGGTGGCCACAGCAGAGTTGGATGCTGCAGCTGGCAGCAGCCCCACGCCCCATGGTTCCCAGGGGAGCCGGGTGGCCTCTCCCATCTCCCTGTCCCCCAAACACCACCCAGCCAAGCCCAGGTAAGCCGGGACACCTCACCTGAGAGTGTCAGTGGCCTGGAGAGCTTCATGAGGGCGATGTCGTAGTCGTCGTGGTCGTCGCTGTAGTTGGAGTTGATGATGACCTGGGACACGGGGACGCCCTCCATGGTCTGCTTCAGGTCTGACACCCCTCCGTACACCTTCCAGTCATCCAGGATCTTCACGCTGTTCCTGGCAGGGTGAGAGGGGGCAGGAGGGGGTGAGATCGGGGCTGTGAGGCTAGGCTGGGTGCCCGGGTGGGGAGCAGCACTCACATGAAGAAGCAGTGGGCAGCGGTGAGCACCCACTGAGCGTCGATGATGGTGCCACCGCAGATGTGGATGGTCCCGTACTGCACGCTGACCTGCCACGGCCATTTGTTCACAGACGTCTCCTTCCCACCGATGATCCTGCCAGAAATCCTCTGCCCACAGGCTGGAGGGGAGAGCAGGGCTGGGAGTAAGGCTCAGGGGGAAAGGGAGGGTGGAGGGACACACACACCACACCCCCATCGCCCACAGGGACCACACTTATTGCAGGGAATGCGATGTTGGTAGTTTTCTATCACCCAGAAAATTCTCTGGAAGACATCCCATTTGCCCAGCCTTGTGCTGAGCAGGGGGAAAGTGGTCCCAAGCCTGGGGAAAGGGGCCCACCCTCGGCCCAATCCTGTGCTGAGCAGGGGAAAAATGATCCCAAGCCTGGGGAAAGGGACCCACCCTCAGCTGTGCCCCATCCAGATCCTTACTTGTGCATCGCAGGGAGACGTACTTTCCTGTGAGACACTGGGAGCTGCAGGAGAGAGGAGGGAGGCCCAGCCTCAGCCCCATTCCTGTGGCACCAGGCAGGGTTAGTTAAGGTCAGGGCTCGGTTAGGAGGTGACCCTGGTACCTGTTGAGGCTCTGCTGGATGGTCTCTCGCTCTTCAGTCACCGTGAGGCTCTTGCCAGAGACACGCAGGGGGATGTACTCGGTCTGTGATGCACTGAGAGGGGAGAGGACAGGCAGTGAGGACAGGCAGTGAGGGTCCCCCCACCCAGCACTGACCACTTGGCCCCTGCATTATGCCCAGAGCAGCGCTGGACATGCCACCTTCCAGCAGGAAAACACAACACTGGGGGAAACAGCACAGCAGACCCTGCTCTCAGTCAGGACAGGGGTCTGGCAGGGCCCCAGCACCTGAGCAGAACAACCCATCCTCCAGGAATTACTTCTGAAATCCCAGCTGCCGGCAGGTTTTCCTGGAGAGGGACTCGTCCCAGTCACTGCTGCACACCGGCAGCCACTGGCTCTCAGTGCTGGAGTAGACGTGGAGCAGGGACTCCTCGGATGAGAAGCGCACTGTGGGATGGACAGGAGGGTCAGGGGGGCTCCCGGGGCTCCCCTCGTTCCCACCATCCCAGCTCTGGGTGTCTCACCACAGCCCAGCTCGTCGCTCCTTTGCGAGCAGTCGACGACGCCGTCGCAGCGCACGGGCCTGTCCTTGCAGATCTCTGCTGGCTCCTTGTACACAATGCCCGTCTGTGACCGCCAGAACATGACTGCAAACAGGAGAGCACCTCGCTGAGGCCAGGCCTGGCCGTGGGTGAAGGGCTGTGACCCACCTGGGTGGGCATCTGGAGGTGTGCCAGCCACAGGAGCATTCCCAGTCACCGGGTGTGAGGGTGAGGCGTGTTTGAGCCAAGACTGAGGAGCTGCTGGCCACTGGGCTGGCCACCCTGAGCACCCCCCTGTGCTGCCCAGTGCTGCAAGCCCCTCTGCCTTCACCCATAGGAAATGCATTCAGCCTGTGAGTGCTTCAAGACCACCGGATTAAAAGGATTCCCCAGTGTCTGTTCTGCCTACGGACCATGACTTGTCTTGGGGAGGGCACTGTGGACCCTACTGCCCACCAGAGTAAGCCCAGCAGAAGGAAAGCACGCTGCAGCCCCAACCCCACAAATACTGCCACCAGCCCAGGCAGCAGATCTCCTTTTCTCCTCTCCCCAGTTCCTGTCTCTCCACCAGAGGTCAGGAACACTCAGGGAATGGGAAGAGCACATCCTTGTCTCTGGGCCAGGAGCTTCCCTCTGGCACTTCCCCACTCCCCTCCAGAAGCCTGGAGCCACCCCGGGCTGGGACCCCACTCACACAGCAGGATGAGGGCGATGAGCAGCACGATGAGGACGGAGACGCAGAAGATGAGCGCAAGCCGCCGCTGGCTCATGCAGGGAGCTCTGAACATGGAGGATCCTGGCAGCAGGGCAGAGGCAGGGTCAGGGGGCAGCTGCCTCCTCGGGGCACCCAAACCCTGCTGCCCACCTGTGGGCTGTGGGAGAGCAGGGCCATGCACACCCCAACGTGCCCTGTGCTCACTGTCCTCTCACAGTGCCCCCCACACCCCTCACACCCCAGGAAACACCAGCCCGTGGCTCTCTGTACATCCCTGCCTCCCTCCATCCCTCCCCATGCTGAGAGGCACCGAGGCCATGGATCACCCCATCCTTACGTGTGCTGTCACAGGCTGAGCAGGGGCTCGGGGCGGGGCCGCACTCGGGGCTGTAGGGTTTGAAGCTGATGCCCAGGACGTTCTCTCGAGGCTGCGGGGATCGGGCACCGAAGATGCTGCTGGCCTTGGAGACATGGAGCAGGCTGGGGGTGACACTGCTGGGCGAGGCAGTGGTCTGTGGGCAGAGGGGACTGTCACCAGCAGTGTCTGCTGCCCACCAGAGTCCCCCAGCTGCCACCCTGCCAGCTGGGAAGGTGAAAGCAACACCGAGACGGAGCTGAGCCCCCCTGGCACCACAACGAGCCTGTTCCTCACAGAACCGTGAACCTCATGGAGAGTCAGCACCCCAGTGCCTCTGTGCCACAATCTGAGCCATATCCCGCCCGGGATGGCCAAAAACCTCATTGTCACCGGGTTTGTCCCCTTCAGGCAGCTGAACTTCCCAAAGTCATCACTGCGAGCCCAGCAATCAGCCGGGTATTTGGCATCGTGACAGCCAAGCCGTGGCCCAGTTCCACGGGGCCAGTGCCCCAATTTATGCATCTATCCTTAATTAGCCATTTGAAAAATACAGTGCAATTTCCAGCTGTCATTTAGTAATACTTAATAATCAGTGTTTTCCAAGCCCTGAAACGTCTTGCACCCTGGAATGCTGCTCTGCAGTTGTGTCACTCCTGATCCATGAATTCACAAAAGAATATGTATTTGTTTCCTTTCCTCAAAATGCACTCTTCCAAATGCTCCCTTGGTCAGAAGGAGTCTGAGTCTCTCGTTTTCCTCCAGAGAGGGTCTGCGAACAAGTCCCAAAATAAATGATGCTTCTTCTACCTTTTGTAGGATGGATGGGGCTTGGAGCAGCCTGCTCAGGTGGAAAGTGTCTCTGTCCATGGAAAGGGGCTGGAACTGGGTGAGCTTTCAGTCCTTTTCCATCCAGACCATTCTGGGATTCTGGAACAGCACTTCTGATGTGGAAACCGGGGAGAAGTGGAGCCACCACCCTGCAGGCACCACTCACCACCCAGAGATGGGCTCTAACACATCCCCCCTGGAGCCTCTCTCTGATTTTTCCCTGCACTTTTCTCCACGACCAGAAATCATTCCTTTCCCTGCGAAGCCAGCGAGGAGAGCTCGGGCTGGAGCACAGCTCTGGAAAGGGCAAGGGCAGGACGGGGACACGGGCACAGCTGGGAGCCCCCCTCGCCCTTCCAGCTGGGTTTTGTCTCCCCTCGTGTTTCCTGCCGGGAAGCAGGAGTCCTAATGAGCGGGTCGTGAGGCCGCTGGGGCTCGTGCTTTGTGCGTGCGGCTGTGCCCTCCGTGGCGATGCTCTGTGTAACTTCCTGGGCATTATCCGTGAGTCACGGCCCCGGCGTGGCCACGCGTCCCGCGCGGCTCCGAGCCCAGCTCAGCGCACCGGGGACACACCTGCCCTGCCCGGGCTGTGCCTGCCGAGCTCATCCCCTCCGAGCCGGCGGTCACAGCACCCCGGGCTGCGGGAGCGGCCGGGCCACTCGCCCTGGCCGGGGCCACCCCCCGGCACAAACCTGCCACCCCCGCGGGCCCTTGGCGCGGGCACCGCTAATGTCCCCCGGCCTTGTGTGGCCACCCGTGTGGCTCCTGTGCGCGGGGAGGAGCGGAGAGAGGCACTTTCCAGAGCAGAGGCATTTTCTGTTCCACTGCATCAGCCCCACTCTCGCCCCTTCCCCGGCACACAGCAGGAACAAGCCTGGATCTGCTCCAGGTTTCCCTACACCCGGATTTCCCAGCCCTGCCTTCTCCAGGGAGCCCAGGAGAGCTCCTCAGTTTTCTCCTCGAGGCTGGGAGGGCTGGAGGGTGCCCTGCAGAGCCCTCCCCTAATGAGCCCTCCCCTAATGAGTCTGATCACTGATGGGATTTCAGTTCTCACGCACCCACATCGTGGGGCATCCCCGGGTACCCTCAGTGCCCGCTGTGGGTGACAGCCAGAGCTGTGGCACGTCCTGAGCAAAGCAATGTGGGGATGCCAGGGACCCTTCCTGGGAAAAGAATTTCTCCTGCTTATGTAGAAATGATGTTTTTGTAAATACCCTTTTCCCCTGGCATTTGTGTGCTATCTCCAGACATCTGATGTGTCACATCTCACCCTGCAGCAGCCATAACCCTTTGCTTATCAGACCAGCAGAGTCTCAATCCTCCAGAGGACAAAGCTCTCCATCACACACGGAAAACACAGCCCAGCTTCCCCAGGGAGCCAGCAATGCTGGATGCCACAGCACTCCTACCTCCAGTGTGCAAATAAATCAAATTAATACCGAAACCTGCCATAGGTCAGACTGTTCTGAGCGCTCCTCAGCAGGAAGCACATGCCTTACACTCAGGTAAACTTTCAGCTACTTATTTCCTTTAAAGTCTAAAGTCTAAACAATTTCTCTGCCAGAGAAGGTAACAGAGCTCTTGCCATGAGCAGTGCAGCAGCACAGAGAACAGTTGTGGTTTTTGCAGAGATGTTTTTGTTGAGGAGAGCGTGTGACCCCGGTGAGCAAGCGACAGCTCCTGCCCACAAAACCTTTACTCATCCTTTGCTGGCTTTTGAGTAAAAGTCAGAGGCAGAGCTGAGCCTGGATCACAGGCACTGCTGTGGTTTGAGTCCTTTCCCCGACAGCCTCTCTGCAAATGCTCCAGCAGCCGCCAGAGTGATCCCTGCCAGGGGCAGCTGTGGGGAGGGGGCACTGCCAGCCCCTGGCTGGGGCACACATGGCTTGCTTTCAACCAGGACATCCAGGAGGGACACTGGGGACACTCAGGGGTTCCTGGCTGTCTTTGCTCACCTCGCAGACAGTGGACACCGCCTGTCTGCAACACGAATCCTTTGCTGAACCTGTCAGGAGTGCAAACACCTCCTCATTCCCTGTCCCTGCTCCGAGGATCCGAGCAGAGCAGGGCAAGGCACCCAAACCAAGGACAGCAGCACTGAGGTGCCCGTCCCCTTTACACTGTGGGTTGTGACTGTAGCTCCACACCCTGATGTGGAGGGAAGGCCCCCAAACCCACGGCAGCAGAGGACAATCAGCAGGGGAAAGGTAAGCCAGGCTGGGCTGGAGGCTCAGCATCCAGGGAAACCAGCCAGCAGGCACCTGCAGTTTCGGAGTGGGAGGGAAAGAGGAAGCCAGGGAACACCTGGGTGTTGCAACCAGACCCAGAGCCCAGCCGCGTCTTGGAGGAGCAGAAGGACACAGGAACTCCCAAAATTCCACAGCATCAAAAGGGGAGAGAGGGAGGCAGCCTGGCTTAAATAAGCTGCTTCAAATCCTCCTCCCCAGCTGAGCTCAGCCCCTCCCCTCAGCGTGGCTTCAGCTGCTCACAGCCCCGTGTCCAGGCTGGGAACTCCTTCACCTGGTTGTGAAGCACCGATTGTCTGTGCAGAGCAGCTCAGCCAGCACACAATGGAGACATTGTCCTCGCCAGGGACAAAGACGTTCCCGGCCTGGGAGAGCCCCTGGTGCCTCTGGGTGACAACATCCTGCTCAAGTGCCACTGCTGAGTGGGACCTACCTGGGAGGGGACAGACTCCAGCACCAGAACAGGGCGAGAGGACAGAGCCAAGGCCCTGATACACACAGCAAAGTGAAATCCCAAAGCCAGCCAGCGTCACTTGCAAGTGAAGGTGACAGAGAATTGAGCCAGCCCGATGTGGCCAGGGACAGGCCATCCTGTGCCAGTGTGAGCACCCTGTGGGCACAGACCCCAAAATGCTCCAGGGCTGGGTAAGCACTGCTCACCTCGCTCCTCAGATGGGCAAACAGAGGCCTGGAAAGACAAAGAGACGCTGCTGCCAAGGGTGGCTCCTGGCACTCCTGATGGCCCATTTAACCCAAGTGACAATTCCAAGGTGGCTCAGTGGGGTTGTCCAGTATTGGGCAATTGTCTCTGCCTGTGGCCATCCCAGTTCCTGCCCCACTATCACCAGGATGCAGTGATGCCACCCTGCTTTGGGATCACCCAGAGCTGGGACCACTCTGCCTCTCCTCAGAGCCAGCCAACATCCAGCATGAGCCCAGTGTGTGCCCGCTCCCGGCTGGCACTGCCACGCCAAGGGGCAGGAAGAGGACGGTGTCAGAGCTGGCTCTGCCTCCCTGGAGCCCCATCCACGCCGCCACCGCCGCCTTTGTTCCGGATGTCGCTGGCGCAGCCGGCGCTGCTCGGCGCGGTAATTACTCGCTGCCTCGCCCGGTGCCCAGCTGGGATGGATGTTTTCCTCATGACAGGATGCTCAGCAAAGCCCCACATCCCAGGTCGCAGTCAGCCCAGCCAAAAAAGGACGCAGGGAAAGCTGCCTGGGGAGCAGCAGGGCTATGCTCACCAGCACAGCGTTGCTGGAAAGTGCTGGGGGACTCAGGAAGTGCCGAGTGGCACCAGATCCCTCTGACAGCATCAGCTGGTCCCCCCAGTTCACAGCTCCAGTGTGGCAAAGTACCCGAGAACCTCTGCCAGCACAGGGCAGGCACCAGGGATGCTGCTGGCTGCCCTCCCTCCCTGTGCCGAGGGGTGCCGGAGGCAGCAGCTCCTCAGGCGGCTCCCCCGGCTCCTTCTCCCTCCGGCTGCTGGGAAGGAACAGCCCGGAGAGCAGGAGGGAGACACCGGTCCCTCCACCAAATCCCCAGGGGAGCGGATCCACCGAGCCAGGAGCCGCCCGCACTTACCGGGGAGGTTTTGCCGTCCATGGGCCGGGATCGGGGCTGGGCTGGGCTCAGAGCTGCGGCACGGCCATGCCAGCAGCGCGGTGCCGAGCAGAGCCAGCTCTGCGGGGCCGGGGCAGGAGCTGTTTGGCGAGCGGGCTCGTACGTCAGTGCCAGCGCCAGGAGCAAACCTGTCGGACCTGCCCGGCTCCAGCGCCGCCGGTTTCCCAACTGCTGCAGGCACAGCCTGCGCAAACACCTGCCCTGTGCCGGCCCAGGGATGCGGGGCAGTGCCTGAGGAGCCCCGGGAATCCGGGAGCTGGGAGACCTGGCCGCAGGGAACAGCAGCATCCTGTTTTCCCTGCTGCTCTCCTAGCTGCCTGCCCATCCAAGCCCCCCCTTCCTCGCCTCTGTGCCCCCCACTCACTCACCCACAGCTCTCCTGCCCAGCCAAGCACAAAGAGGATGCACAGCCATGCCCAGCCCCAGGAGAACCTCGCTGGTGTGACCCAGAAGTCAAGAATTCCCAGTTCCAAAGGAAATGAAATGCTGTTTGCTTCTAGTTTCTCTAGAGGCCTTTTTATTCCTTTGCTAATGGAGTGATGCTTCATCCAGGCACCAGCAGCAGCCTCCTGCCTCCCCTGTGCCCGTCCCCAGGCACAACCTGGGGGATGCTCTGCATAGCCAAGAACTCAGGTAGAAACAGGTGAAAATACCCGGATTAAAGGAGAAAAGCCTAGCTGCATCCTGTGCTTTCTGATAGCCAGGCCCACGGCCCTCAGTGCCACACGTTTCTCCCTCATCCATCCAGCTCCACACACACCTGCTCAGAAGGGCAGGAGACAAGCAGGGACATCCAAGCTTGGAGAAGCCCTGCTGCAAAGCCCCTTCCTTTTGGGGCTGGAAAGCTTGGGCTGGACCCCTCTGACCCCTCCTGCTCTGAGGATCCCTCTGACCCCTCCTGCTCTCAGGATCCCAGCTCACAGAGGGGTTCTGAGCCAGCCCTCACTCCACAGCACACTCCTCTGTAGTTTTCACAGGCAGGAGTTGTTTCTGGGGATTTTTGTTTGTTTTTTGTGCCTCGGCAGGCTGTGCCTGCTGAGTGCCAGGGGTGGCCAAGCACTGAGCTGCACCCCCAGGCTGCCCTGAGCCAGCCGTGCCCTCTGAAGCTGCTGGGTCCACTTCAGAAAGGGATTCTCAGAAAACAGCTCCAGGAATTGTTCATTGCTTGCTGCAAAGCCACCTACAGAGAGCAAGTCCCAGAGTACAGGGTGTGTGGCTTGACCCCAGCAGCCTGATGGTAAATGTCAGCATGCACACAGCTCCCGGGTGAAATTCTCACCTTCCCCACTGCTAACACAGCTGTGAGGCCTCCCTGCACCCTCCTGCCCTCCCAGCCATTAAAGAGGAGCTCAAACACACAGCCAGAGCCGGCTCCACCAGCCCAGGAGACCTGCTCCGACCTCCAGGCACGAGGGAATGGGGATGAGGATCACTGTGCTGTGCTCTATCCTGCGGCAGGGCTGTGCAGAACCAGCCCTGCGGCCTCATCCCTGCCCTGCTGGGTGCAAATCACCTGCCTGACCCTGCTGCCACCCTGAGAAAGCTTCCCGAGGGACAGCAGGGAGGGAAATGCACAGAGCCAGGTGCTCCTGGGCTGGGTTTCTCTGCCGTGTGCCCACAGGGAGGCATTTCAGGGTCAGCCACATCAGCCCCAGCTCACACTGTCCCCTCTCCTGTGGCTCCTGGCAGTGCTCTCCCTGCAGAGCTCAGGTTCCTGCACCGTCCAAGCATTCTGCAGAACTCTCGTTCCTCCTCAGCAGTTTTCGTTTTCCTCTAAATTGTCAACCACTTCTCCCAAGGCTCAGAACTGCCTCACCCACAGCAACAGCCCCACGGTGGCTTTTCCACAGAACTCCCACTTTCCAGGTTTTTGGTCCCGCTGCTTTTCATTGTCATTACCTGACACAAAACACAATTTGTGGCTTTGTGTGGGACTGGCTGTGCTTCATCTCAGGACTCCTCAGCTCAGTGGATACCAGATATGAATCAAGGGCCAAGAGCAGAGTGGCAGGACATCAGCTGGTGTGTCCTGGATGGGAATAAACCCAGGGCAGGGAGGGGATCTGCTGCTGCTGCTCTGGCCAAGCTGCAAGTTTGTGGAAGCCCTTGGCCTTCATCAGGAAGGATAAGTCAGGGAAAACAGGAGAAATCTCCCACTTCAGGCCTTTAAGATGGTTCTTCAAAGAGGAGCCTGCATGTCTGTGCCCACCATGATGCCCTCTGAGTCTGGGCACAGCACTTTTGGTTTCTCTTGCTCTTTTTATCTGTGTCTTTTCCACTAATTCCCCCGTGGGAAATTCCTCTTTTTGAGGAAAATCACTCTCCATCACATGAGAGCCCCAGGAAAGCCCTCAAGCAAGCTCTGAGGCAAAGCAGAGCACTCCCACAGTCTGCTGGGTGGAGATTCAGGTCCCAGCATCACCAGACAGGCAGCACAGCACTGTGGGGCCAGACCCCACAGCCATGGGCTCACAGACACACGTGGGGGCTACCAGAGCGCAGGGGACAGTGTCAGGCCCTGGATTTCCAATGTCACCACTGTGTGAGGGTGTTTGCAGGACACAGGTTGTCACTCAGCCCCAGAAATGGAGAAGGGAGAGTTGCAGGAGGCTGAGCCCAAAGGAAGGGAAAGCCAGAACCCGCTCCTGGGGCTCCAGGGCTGTTAGAACCTGGATTCAGCTGCTGGCACGGTGCTGTGCTCAGGAAAACCCCTGTGACCTGGGCAAAGGTTACCATGGGTGCTCACCTGTGCCGCGCTTTTAACGTCTCATTTCACAACAAAGCAGCGAAGGCAGAGACATCACTTACTGGTTCTTGCCTTTCTCAGCACGGCCCTGCTTTGCTCAGAAAAGCCCTCAGAATTCTTCCTTTCAAGCTCTGTCGGAAAAGCCCGGCCCAGGCTGAGGCTTCGGCTGGGGGTGAGTGGGTGGACAGCGAAGAGAAGTGGAAGTCGCTGCTCGGTGACTTTCCTGGCGCTGTTTGAACGCCTCCAAGACGTCACTGAGCCAGCCCCTGGGGGAAAAACGAGCGCAGAGCTCCCGCCGGGGCACAGCCCGGCCCCGCGCTCGCCCTGCTGCCACGGAGGATGCTGAGTGGCCATGGTCCCCTGTGCCACCGTCCTGGCGCTGTGCCTGGCACTGCTGCTCGCCTGCCTGGCTCACGGTGAGTGTCCTGTGCTGGTTTTCATCTCCCTGCTGGCTGGGGCTGAGCCTCACGGCTCCGGGTGGGTTCCTGGGGATGGGGGATCAGGTTGGAGCCGCAGCCTGGATGCCTTTGCTGGGTGCTCAGATCAGCGTTTTGGAGCAGGGCTCTCAGCTCACCGCTTGCCTTTCACTGCTGGTTGGGAGCCCAAAGGCTCAGCGAGGGGCACCAGCCTGGCTTGTCTCCACTGGTGTGACCACGAGGGGACACGGTCACTGGGGACACAGTGCTGGGCTGCGTGTTTGCCAACAGGCAGCAGCTGCCGGGGAAACCTGCGAGGGAAAGGTGGCAGATGTTATCAGGGGGGCTTTTCTGCCAGATCACAACACCGAGATCAGGCAGGAGGCGTGAAAACGTCTGGTTTCACCCAGGCAGATGAGCAAAACAGGAAAGCTGAGTCCAAACAAAGCTGGTGGCAAACAGCAGGGGATGGGGGATGCAAATACAGCTCCGTTCTTGGGGCAGAAAAGAACTGAGACTCCCCAGCTGGGCTGTCCCCAAAGAAAGAGGAAGGAGAAGAGGGGGCTGAGCAAATCCTGGAAGTTGGGAACAGAAATCTGGGCAAAGGCTTGCAGGTTTCGTGTGGTCAGTGCTGTTACGTCACCCATGCCGGGGTGATGCTGCAGGAGGCCGTGCTCAGGCTCCTGTGGGGCTGGAAGGACAGGGCTGTGCTGCCCCACCTGAGCTCACCTGTGCCCCACAGGTGAAGGGCTGGCGAGCCCCCGGCGTGTGAACTTCACTGCAGAGCTGGCAGGGCACCTGCTGAGGTGGGAGCCGGGGCACGGCTGCCCCAGCAACGCTAGCTACGACGTGGAGCTGATAGTGTGAGTAACACCAGGGGCAGCACAGGGGTCCTGCCCTGCCTGATTCCAGCTCTCTGCTCACCCCTGGTGCTTCTCCCCTCAGCTACGGCTTGGGAATGCCCTGGATAGCCATCCCAGAGTGCACGAACACCTCGGAGCTCTCCTGTGACCTCACCCTCTACACCCTGGACCCCGAGGGGCGCTACATTGCCCAGGTCAGGGCTGTGTCCGGGAACCTCACGTCTCCCTGGCAAAGGACCAGCGTCTTCTCCCCACAGGAAGGTAGGTTGGGGTCTGCCTCCACCCTGTGCTGGAGCTGGTGGAGTCAGGGTGCCAAACTGCTTGGAAAGAACTGTGGGATGAATGAGAGCAGGGAGAATTTCCCTCCATACCTTCCTGGAGGCTGCACAGGGAGATGGGACAAGCTGAGGATGGGTGGGACAGTCACAGCTCAGTCTGGTGCTGCAGAGGCTGAGCTGTGAGCAGGAATCAGCCCTGACCTGCTGTTGGCACTGGTTTGCTTGCAGCCGGCCTGTTCCTGGTGGGTCAGAGCCTCTCCGTGGTGGGCAACTCCATCCAGGTGCGGCTGCAGCTGCTCCTCCACCCCGGGAACATCACCCTGGAGTACAGCGAATTCCAGAAGGAAATGGCCCGGTACCACGTGTACGTCAGGAGCACACAGGACAACCACACGGTGAGATGAGCTCCTGTTCCAGTGCTGTTCCCATCTGTCCCACAGGGTGCTGCTCAAGTGGAAAACCAGATTGTCAAAGCGTGGTCTTCTGTAGGAGTGGATGCTGAGCTGTCACACAGCCACAGCAGCACTGAGAGCTTTCTCTGCATGACTTATGGTGGAGTTTTCCAGCTCTTGTGGGGATTTTGGGTCCAGCTGCTGTCACTGTTATCGCAACACACCCTGGAGACTTTCCCCAGGGGATAGTGGAGGAGGGGGGAAAGCAGGAGCTGGGAGCTCTCAGGTGCCAGCCTGGATTGTTTGTTGCAGTTCACAGTGGTGGAGAAGAGTGCAGAGTTCACCATCAGAGGGCTGTTCGAGGTCACAGAGTACTGCCTGAGCGTGGAGCCCAGGATGGCCAACAGGCCCGTCCCCAGCACACGCAGTGACGAGCAGTGTGTCACCACCGGCCACAAGGACTGTAAGTGGCACCCAGAGAAGGGGGAATCATGGGGTGCAGACCCCTCCCAGCCTCCTGGGAGTGTGGGGGTCCACGCCAGGGCAACTTCTTGGTGCTGTGTGCCCTGAGGAATCCCTCTCCCCCCTCACCTGGTCACATCCTCTCTCGCAGGGAGTGCAGAGATTCTCCCCAGCATCCTCAGCTCCTCCATCATCCTGTTGTTGCTGGGCCTCCTGGGGGCTCTGCTGGCACACACCTACACAAGGAAACCTGTGAGGACACCGTCTGTCCTGGTAAGGCAGGGACAGTGCCATGCCACCCTTTGGGGCCAGGGCAAGGGTGCAAGCTTGGGGAGTGCTGGGAGAGGCAGGCACCAAGCAGGATGAAGCATGGCTCAGTCTCCTCTTTCTCTCCCTCCCAGAAGTCCTTCATGAAGCAGAGCTCGCTCTGGGTGGAGCATGAGCCCCCATCTTCGGGCAGCCTGGATGCAGACCCCATCCAGCAGCTCTTCCTGTGCCAGAAGGAGCCCTGGCTGGACAGCAGCCCTGACAGCAGCAGCAGCACAGCCCAGCCGCCCCTGGAGCAGGGCTGGAAGCTCCCAGAATGGTCCAAGGACCAGCTGTGCCTGCTGGAGCCCACGGGCAGCAGAGACAGCAGCGGCACCAGCACCGACAGCGGCATCTGCCTGCACATCCCCTCGTCCTCCTCCTCTTCTTCCTCCTCCTCCTCCCTGAGCTGCTCCGAGGGCCCCGAGCCCCAGGGCTACAGGCAGCAGCTGCCCACGGCTGAGGACAGCGGGATGGGCTTGGAGACCCCCTGCCCTGCTCCTGGCTGCTCCTCTGGCAGCGGCAATGCCAGCCCAGGGGAGCCCGGGCTCCCCGCTGCCACCAGCCAGGAGGATGTGGAGTTCCGGGGGTACCTGCAGCAGTCTAAGGGCACCGTGGGGCCAGAGCAGCCCCTGGATAAGGGATTGTCCCTCTCGGGCTGTGCAGGGTCCGTGCAGGGCCTGGGCAGCACTGACACCGTGCTGGACATGGAGTGCTCCGAGCTGGCTGTGTCCAAGGGGTATTTGAAGCAGTCCTCACCTGAGCACCTCCTCACACAGGACCTCGCTCCATGGGCAGCCCCTGCCTGGGACTTCTCCAGCCAGCCCCAAGCCCCCACTCTGCTGAGCTGGGCAGCTCCAAGTACTCCACTGACCTCCAAAGTCAGCCCTGATCTGAAAACTCCCTTTGACCTGAACATCTTCCACAACACTGCCTTCCTGGGGACGCTGCCACTCGTCTCCAGCCTCAGCTCCAGCTGGATCACACCACCCATCAATCCCCTGAGCCAGCTCAGCGGGGACAGCAAGGACAGCCGCCTGTGACCCGCCCCTGGGGCCACCAGCCCTCTGCTCTGACCCAACTACCTCGTCTGCCACCGGATAAGCTACCCCTGAATGTTCCTGGTGCCAGGAGCACCAGCCCAGCCACTGCTGTGGGCAGCCTCCCTTAATGGGAGACAGGGATGGGCTGGGCTGGAGGGGCTCATCCCGACATCCTCAGGCCACCAGGGACACACACCAGGGCACCTCCGCCTTGTCTGCCCTCCTCAGCAGCCCAGTACAGGGTGCAGGGCCACCCTTGGGGGCTGGAGTAGTCCTGTGCTTCCACTTCCCCCTTTCCTGGGCCAGCTGGGCTCCTCCTGCTGATGTCCACACTCCTGATGCCATCCCAGCCTTTCGCAACGCAGGCACCGAAAGCAGACGTCAGCCTGACATCAGCACCCTGCTGCTGGCAGCACGGGGCTCCTGCCCTGCCTGGCCCCACGTGGATGGACCCAGAGACTGCCCTGACCCTACAGACACCCTTCAGCATCCAGCCCCTCTGGGAGAGCCCCAGGGCAGGCTATGGGATGCACCTACGAGCCCAGCAGGAGCCAGGGCAGTCCTACCCACACTATGGTCTGTGTTCTGCCGCTGTTGGACACAGACATTATTTATTGCGTTTCATTTGTAAATACAGAAAGGATGTGGTGTTATTTGTTTGGTCCATTTGTCTGTTCATCCTCTCCTAAGGACAAGCTGAGCTTTCTGTTTCCAGATTTGGACACTCTCCACCAGGAAGAGGCAATTTGCCTTTGCCTCGTGTGGGGAAGAGCATTTCCACATCACAGCTGGGAAAAAGGAGAACCAAGCGAGCTCTTCAAGAGCTCCTCACGCACCTGAGTTCCTGGGTGGTTGTCCCTGGGGAATTTTTTGGAAGCAATCACCAGAAGAACAGCAGGGAAAGGAAGCAGGGCTGATGGTGCACATCCCATAGGACATCACCAGGGAAGGACAAGTCAGACCCGGGGGTGGAGGAAAAACAGCAATCAGGGCTCTGCTCAGCAGCGTGGTGTTCAGTCATAGGCTGGGCTCGATGATCTCAGAGGTCCTTTCCAAACTAATTGATTCTGTGATGCTGTGAACAGTTATTGTCAGAATGGAAACAGGATGAGACCCAGCAGCTCACCCTGGGTCACCTTCCAGGCCCCAGGGAAGTTTTTCCAAAAATCACTCCTTTTCCAGAAACCTTCACGGTGGGAAGTCAAACTGCTGGCAGAAACCCTCCTCGGAGAATGTGGTTTTCAGGTGAAGGGGTTTTGGGTTTATTTTAAGCTTTTCCAGCGCAGGCAGGAGGAGGGGGCAGATCCTTGCTGTGTTTCCTGCTCTTACATCTCACCTGGCACTGCTCACTCGTGAGATCCATCCTTGTATCCCACAGGGATGTGGAGGGCACTGGGAGCCTCCTCCTGCTCCTCCACTGGCCCCATCTCTTCTGCCTCCGCATATTTTGGGGCGTTAGAAATTTTTGCTTTCTTTTTAATTTTTTTCAACTTCCTCTGGAAAACAGAGTCATCAAAAGCATGTTTGTTTTTTTTTTTCTTGTTTTTCTTTTTAACGCCGCTGACGTCAGACCCCAGGGCCGGATCCTGCGTCACCCAGGGCTCTGCCGGATCCTGCTCACCACGGAGGTGCCCAGGAGATGGCACTTCCCCCTCTCCATGAGCAGCCAGAGATGTCCTGTCAGCCAGGAGAAAGCCACAGACCACAGGGTTGGGCTTTGACAGCCGAGAGCACAGATGGTCTCTCTGATTCTCTGGAAATCCCACCCTGTCCTCACTGGTTTCCCTTCACACAACCACGAGGCTCTCAGGAGTTTTTCTTTGGGTTTTTTTTTTCTGAGATAAACTTCCAAAGAAACGGTTCCGAGGCCCCTCATGCCTTGCCAGCTCCCACTGGCCAAACAGCTCTTGGTGGCCACAGAGTCTCCCCATGGCTGCTCCTGTGCTCCAGGCACTTCCACAGCCCCTTGTTCTGCTGAGACCGAAGGCAATTGGCACAAAAATTCCAGGAGGAACTCCACAACTCCACAGGGGCTTTCTGAGGTGTTTCCTTGCACTGGTGGTGTGGAGAACCAACCTCTATGTGGGTACAGATATTGGATGGAGGAGGAGGAGATCTGAGATAGATCTCCCATTTCCCACGGCGTTTTCCACATTGCAGAAATCCAGTCACCCAGTTGTGGGGCTCCTGGCTCTCCTCCTCAGCTGGTTCCCTGTCTGGTGCCAGCTCTCTGGGTGTGCAGGAGGCTGGGAGGTCTCTGAGCCCTGGGGAACGTGGCTGTTTTCTCCAGGATCAGTGTTGAGGAATCCTGGGGGAAGGCTGCATCCTCTCCCTCCATCCCAAGCAAGGGGAGGCTGCACTGGTGCTGGCCCAGGCACCTCCTGTGCACCCCTGGCTGCAGAGGGCCAGCGAGAGGACTGCAGGTGGAGGAGCTGCCCAGGGAATTCGTGGAGTTTCCCTCTCTGGAGATATTCCAAATCCACCTGGGTGCATTCCTGTGTCAGCTGCTCCAGGTGACCTTGGGCAGAGGGGGGGTTGGACCAGATGGTGTCCAGAGGCCCCCTCCACCCCCAACGATTCTGTGATTCTGTGAAGCTTTTTTAGCAACAGAAACTACACCTTTGCCATTTCAGTTGAAATCCAACAAATTCAGGGGCTGTTTCTTACAGAAGTGAAAATGGAGGAATTCCCCCTGGACGGTTTTGGTTGCTTTTTCTGTTGGTGCTGGGCTGTGAGTAAGAGGCAGAGAGAGGAAGTTCTGCAAGAGCACCCAGGCTCCAGCCCCATCCCTCTGTCCCATCCCAGGGACAGCAGGGAAGGAAACACAAACCAAAGCCTGTGAGGAGAGAAACCAAAACCAGAGCTCAGGGGCTCTGAAGCCCCACAGCCACAGGCAGGACTTTTGCTGGAAAAACCTTGGGACTGTCCTGAGGAAAGCTGTGATGCCCAGGGGCATCAGCACTGGGGGTGGGGGGGACAGGGCGATGTCCTACCTGCTCTCACCTCATGGTGAGCTCTCACCTCACGGCCCCTGGCTGTGGAAGGGCTCGTAGCCACTGCCCGAGGCGCCCAGCGAGCCACTGATGCTGAACGGTGGCACCAGCTCCAGTGCCACCGAGCCCAACCCACTGCAGGGAAAGCAGAGAGGTCACCAAGGCTGCCCTGTCCCCCTCCAGCCCCTGCCAGCCCCCTGCCAACAGCAGAACTGGGTGGATTTGGGACTGGGAGGGGGGTGTGACACCTTGGCACTGCACAGAGGGAACTGCCAGCCTGGTCCTGGTCCCCCATGGCATCACTCACCGTGAGTGGTAGAGGCTGAAGACGAAGTCAGGCCCTGGGGAGGCAGGAGGAAGAGGAGGGAGAGGTGTCAGAGCCAGGTGTTGCCATGAAGCCACCTTTGCTTTGCCGTGAGTTGTGTGGCAGGGTGGGGACAGGCAGGACAGCACCAGGACATCACTGTGTGTCCCCCTCCTCACCTCAGAGTGTCCCCAGCTTGGCCCAGAGCCCCCCTGCACCAGAGTTTCCTCATCTGCCGTGTTCCCCACGCCCCAGTCCCTCCAGCCGCGTGCTCTGAGGGCCCCCTGCCCTGTCGCCCTGTCCCCTGTCCTGTCCCCTGACCCACTCACGGCGCCAGGTGAGGCCCCTCCGGTACCAGCGGATGAAGGTGTAGCCGAAACTCGCCAGGATCAGCAGGGCCAGCCCGATGCCCAAGACAACCCCGATCACCTTGAAGGGCTCTTGTCCTGGAAAGCAGAGGGAGGAGGGGCTCTGCAGACAGACACTTCTGGGAGGTTGGGGGTCCCGATTGTCCCCTGCAGGGGACAGGACGCCTGGGAGCTGGGGTACCGCTCTCCAGCATGTGCTGTCCCCACGGTGGGGAGGGACTGCAGCCGGCAGGGCTGCCACGACTGTGGCACAGAGATTTTTGCTGTCCCCAAAGCCCCGTGACGGAGCCCAGCGCTGTCCCCAGGTGAGCTGGCAGGTGGGACGGTCACTGGGAAGGGAGGTGTCCACCCTGACCGTGCTGCTTCCCCACTCCTGGTCCCACTCACGCCCTCGTGGGGTGATGATGTGCCTTTCCTGGTGGCGCTGGAGCCATCTCTGGGCTGGCAGTTCCCTCTAGAGGATGCTTTTGTAAGGACGAGCAGCTGCTGCCGCCGGCTCCAGGCTGGCTCGGGACACGGACTGGGCTGTGCGGGCTCTCACCGCTCCATCCCTCCCCTCCGTCTGGCAAAATCCAGCACCAAGCAATGCTCCCGGAATTGCCGGCACACCAAAGTGCCCAGTACAGCCACTGAGCATCGATTCCTGTGCTGACAGCTGTGCTGGGGCTGTGCCAGGCGGGCACAGGGGGTTTGGGCTCTGCCCCGCAGTGCGGCCAGCGGAGGGCACAGGGACGGGATTCAATGCGGCACCGGGAGCGAGGAGACAGCGGAAAGGGATGACCTAAGAGCAGCTAAATTTAGGCAGATGCCAGCGGAGTGAGAACATTTCCCCTGTGGTCACAGTGTTTACACAGTGAGCAAGGTCCCTAAACCCGCGGCACTCGCTCCACCTGCTGGGACGCACAAACAGCCGGGCAGAGCATCGGCCACCAGCTCCCAGGATGGCGGCACAGGAGCACGACCTGCCCTGTCCTTCCTTTCCCTTCCTTTCCCTTCCAGCCGGCCCTCCTGGCACGGCTCAACATTCGTGGGTGGCCAATGTCCCTGCTGGGGCAGGGGCGAGCAGGAGCGCCGGGACCCCCGGTGTGGGCGAGGTCAGGGAGCTGCAGCAGCCGTGAGTCACGGCAGGAGCTGCGGGGAAGGAGGAACGTGGTGCAACAGCCTCCCTGAATCAGCCGGCTGCCGAAACTGCCCCGTCCCCACGCCCACTGCCCGTGGGAGGGTGACGGCGTCGTGCCCAGGCCCTGCCTCGTGCCCTGCGTGGGAGGAATCCCTGCCCCGGCACCCTCGGGAGCAGAGCCCGACATCCCAGGGGATGCTCTGAGCAGCGCTGCTCGGGCAGAGCCACAGCAGCAGTGAGCCCCAACCCCAGCTCACGGGGCAGAGGGGAGGGGGAAGGTCACCAAAGCACTGCCCATGCCATGAACATCCCACCTGTGCCCCATGAGAGGAAAAGTCACCCACTCACCTTTCCAGGTGTCCATGTCCCGCTGTTGTGCCACGGGAGCTGCTCTCCTTATCCCAGGCTGGAGGCTGCTGCTGCAGAGCCCTGTCTGTGCTGGAGCCTGGCACGTCCTGCCTGTCCCCTCGTCTCCTGGTGACACAGCAGCGAGGCTGGGCACCAGTCCTGGCCCACTGGTCCAACTGGTTCGCAGGGAGAAAGCAGAGGAGCTGCAGCAGACACGACAGACGGCACATCGCCGTGCCCAGCCCGCCTGCGTGGGCAGCTCTGCCCTCCCACTGCTGGAAGAGGCTGAACTGGGAGCACTGGGAGCCTGAGGGGCAGGGACAGCCTGGACACAGGTGTGTCCAGCTCTGGCAAGGTGCCCGAGTGGCCATGTCCTCTGATTGCCACCTCCGGGCAAAGACCAGCAGCCAGCAAGGTGGCAGAGGCCCATGCAGAGCCCAGGTTTGGGGCCTCAGGCATGACCCCAGGGG